AGCATCAACAAGAATGTTCCAGTAAGCCAATCGACAGCTGATCACGAGGAATTCGCCGTCGTCTTCTGGTGGAACCGACCTTCGAATCTCTTCACCCAACACTTTCGCTCGAAATAGAAGTAAGCTCAACAATAACTTCCTTTATTCTCGTTTCAGCTCAGCTAAATGAAGTTAGAGTCTGTTGAGAATCCATAATTTCTGGTCGTCCTCCGAACCCTCGGGTCGTGTGCTTTCCAAGCAAGACGGTTCACCTCCAGGCGCACTCGGTAATGCAGAGAAGCTGGCTTTCGAAGAATCCCTTAATAGATTCGACAACATTCTGTTGGTTGGCAGGTGATTGATTAGTTGACGCCGCAAGCCAGGTACAAGGTAGCAACTGAAAATGTGTTCACCGCCAACCAGCTTCACATGCTAAGGCATTACATGTGCAAATGTTATTCTGATGAGGCCTGTCGTAAGGTGACCGAGTCAACACTGGCAAGTACAGAAACCAGACAACTGGTCTGATCCTTCATATCATCCTGACTCTAACTTATTTATTTTTCCACGAGCATTCGGGGCACCCAAATGCGTAATTGTCGTCCTTTCAGTTCCTCTCCAAGTTTGCCTAATCCCTTTTATGCGCCCGTATGTGCAACTGTCTATTTGTGCGTGTGCGGCTTGTGCGTTTGTCTTGCTTATGTCTGTCCAGGACGCCTGATTTGGGACCATGCCAAGCTAACTGGCTTTCTCTGACTGGGCTTTTTACTCGCAAATTAATTTACATCGACAAGGTCTTAGTCGGCCAAAGTCTAGTGCCCCCACTCTTTCGGCCCAGCCTCTTTTCCCATCGCTTTCAGACTCCTTGTCCCCTGTCTTCCATCTCAAAAATCCCACCTCCCACCGCCCCTCATCCTTGCAGTCCACTCCTCCACATCGTCAAACCCCCTTCGGCTCGTACAGAGCCTCGTCGACCCTCGAGCTTCACTTTATCTCTTGCCTCTGGCTTGCCTTAACCCCTCTTTTGGCAGTAGCCAAGACGCGACTTCTGCCTCCACTAATTTCAACTTTGTTTCCCGGTTTTACAGTTATACTCTCTCTCTCTCTCTCTCTCTCTCTCTCTCTCTCAATCTCCATCACTCTCTCACGCTCTCCATATATATTCTATTCAAACGTACGTCTTCATCTGACCTCGTGTCTGCCCATACTCATCGGCACGTCTCTGCTTCTGTAGACATGCGCTTAACCCGACCGTCCTATGTTGTCATCGCATGCTCAGTTTGGAGGCAAAACATGGAACCCGCTGAACCCTAGACCAAACACTTGCCCATCTGCCTGCTTGTGCCCGTCTATACGCTTGTAGATCACTTTGTCCATCTGCCAATCCTTAGACCTGTATGCTGTTGGTATGTGCTTGTGTTCGGTCCAACTTTCTGGCCGTGTATTTGTAGTCATGTCTGGTTCTTCTAAACATGTCAGCCTGTTGGCTCTACTATCGGCCTACTTGTACATTTGTCAGCCGTAGCGCCTGTACGCATGTGTGCCTCTGTATATATCTACCTGTTTTCATGCCGATATCATTGTAATCACAGTCGGGCAGTAGGATGTGTGTCCAGGTGAAGATTGTAGAATTGGCTTTTCTTCCTCCGGATCACCCTCCTCGCCTCAATCTCAACGCCATTACTATTAACAGCGGCATTAGCAGCATAAACATCATCCTCATCATCCTCATCACCATCACCACTGTCATCTTTTAGTCCAGCTCGCTAAGTTAAACTGGGATTTTGGGTCACTTTCCTCCATTTCCCAACCTCCCCAACCTCACTACTGCTACCACTATTATTTATACTACTACTACTACTGCTGCTGCTGCTGCTGCTGCTAGCACTACTTATACTGCCGTTCCCTCATCTGCTCCTATCTCGTTCTTGCAGACCTTTATTCCACCCTCTCCGAGCTCTGAGATGAAATATGAGCTGGATACTAGAGCTATGCAAGAGTATTGTTTAGATCACGGCACGTGCGAGAACAAGGAAACTTCTGTTTTCACCTCAGTTCGTGCATCAGTATTATTTCTAGTTTCCCAAACGCCTCGGTCGCAGCTGAGACAGCCAATGAAGTTGGCAGAGGCTTAGCGGCGCAGCGCATACACATTCATTTACATGTACCTTTAATGTACCTTCGTGTACACGTATTCATATAATTTAATGACCTATGTATATTTGTGTACGCTCAACTTGTGTGTGTCTTTGTGTCTGTATCGTTGCGAACGTATCAACGAGAGAATCGCAGGCTCTGGGAAGGCCCACTTCCATGCCATCCTGTCCCAGGTCGCATCATAACTGGAGAATTGATAAAGATTATTATAATTAATCTAAGGCCGACATACTCCTACCGACCGGACAATTGATAGTT